CAGAGAATCAGTTGAGTGATGTCACTGTGTGGCTACATCACTGTTCAACCTTGCCCTCTATCTAGTCTGCTTCTCTTGCAACCTGACAGATGTCATTACCAAGTGCACTCCTGCATGTAAATCTCAGAACATAGAGCTCCCAGGAGCTCAACCTCTGCCGAATAGAGCTTACGTGTCCTGGTTGATTGCCACTTTTAAGTAAGCAGACTTTACAGTAAGAATTAACACTGATATGACCTGGTAGCCTCATGACAAAGAATTAACCTTGATTCCAGGGCTATTTAGAAAGCAAGGGTTCCCATAAGTAAGAACTTTAAGAGAAATGAAAAATAGTATTAAGAAGCTATATAAGTGCATAAAGGTAAGATGAGTATGTATTTCCCTGTTAAAGATTTACTTATTCCAGGTGGGACTTAACCTTGATTAAACATCTTTCTGACCTCAGGGTGATTTGTTCTGTGTGGGAAGGGGGAGGCGTGAATGCATGCCTCTATCTGCAGGGTGTCCTAACACATATCATGTTGATGTACAGACCAGACAGTAGGTTATTAAATGCTATACTTCCAAACTGCCAATGTTAAAAATGCAAAATCACAGTTACAAATGGCATTTGAAAAACTGCTTTCAGACTGTCTCCAAAGACTGTTAAGAACCAGTTTTTTTTTAGTTGCCTTTCGAGTTGAGTGAAGAAAAGATAAGCCTTCAATCCTGACTTGTCCACCTACCAAGCATTTCACAATCATCCTGAAATTTTGATCAAAACACATTTCCTTTCACTGCCTCCTTTTCAGATCCAGCTTTATTGATAAATATTTCTGGGGTGTTTTATTTAACTCAGTCAGATACCCATTCAATGAGACAATCCAGTAGCAGAACAAGCTGCTAGAGTGAATGCCTTTCCTATCAGAAAGCTGCAGGGTTAGCCAGAAGCATCTTGCCACCTTGGTGATGGAGATTGGTTCAGCTCACCACCTCCACTGTCTCCCTGCTTTCTAGAAATGGACCCACGTGTTCATAAATTTCTCTTCTTCTCTTATTCAAGAAAGGAAAGGAAAGGAAAGGAAAGGAAAGGAAAGGAAAGGAAAGGAAAGGAAAG